AAAAATAAAATAAATTAAATAAATCAATCAATAAAATTATGTGATTCCAGTTTTAAGAACTGGATGTTGTTCAAGGTTCGCCCATTTATTTTATTTAACTCAATTTCATCTAGGCCCGGACGTAATAGGACAAAACTGTATTATGTATCTATTACAATGCATGATATGCATCATTCATATGCAACTGGAAAAATAAGTCAAAAAATAAAAGCAAAAAATAAAATTAAATAAATCAATCAATAAAATTATGTGATTCCAGTTTTAAGAACTGGATGTTGTTCAAGGTTCGCCCATTTATTTTATTTAACTCAATTTCATCTAGGCCCGGACGTAATAGGACAAAACTGTATTTGGTATGTATCTAAATTTATACTGCATGTAAAAAAGCGGAGCATGGAAGGAGGAGAAGAGAAATAAAAGAGAAATATATATATGTATATATGTAAAAAAAAAAAGAGATGCATTTCAAGAGATGTGTAGAACGCTGCTTATTTAAGCAACATCTGCAGAGATGATCAGCAATGAGACATGATGTATCTTTTAAAATGCAACACATACTGTGATTCACTTTCAAGCCAATTATGAACCATCATGTGCACAAGTCCAGACAACCAGTGCTATCAGACAAACCAAACATACTCAGTTTGACCCTACAGTGCCCTATTTCGAGAAGCTCTGATGTGGACTGACTGGAAGTGGATTTAGACGAAAGCATCTGCTAACACACGGCTAAAAACCAGACTGACAGCGAGAGTCATTTATCACTCAGCTCCTTCTCGGTGCCACCGGCTCCTTCTGCTTTACTGCATTACACACAGATACGGATCGATGCGCAGCCGCAGCTCTGGAGGGGACAGATCTCATGCCTTCAGGAGCTGCTTCACAAACACAGAACGAGAGAAGAAGCCGTAAAACAGGAGGACGACTGGCACGACTCTGAGCCTCAGAACAGAGAGAGCGAACACATGATAGTGTGAAGAACAGCTCAAATAAACACCAATGCCTGACAACGCTCACAGTACATCTGCATTTACCAATCCCATGCATGCAGCTGCACTGTTTTATAATGAAACATGCCCAGAAACACTGCAATAAAAAGCATAACTGTATATATTTTGGTATCGGCGTTTGGTATCGGGGCATTTTAACGAGTACGAGTACGAGTACAGGAGCTCAGTATCGGGCCCGATACCGATACCAGTATCGGTATCAGTGCATCCCTAATTCTAAATGTCTTTACTGTCACTTTTGATCCGATTTAATGCATCCTTGATGAATAAAAGTATTTATTTCTTTTAAAAAAATAACACAGGGATGAACGGTTCATAATAACACCAGGAATATGAACTAATGAAGCAAAGTGACTCATTATCAGCACATGGAAATAAGAAACAAGAGAGGAAAGGCAAGCGATCGATTTATTGGCTTGCCAACACAGCCTTATTAATTCATATCTATTGTCTGCTGCGAGCTTCAGCATGTAGGGGTAAAATATTAATCACGTTGGAGATGAATTATTAATGGAAAAACATACGGAACAGGGACTGAAATGACTTTGGGGAGGTCTTACTGCTAAAGGACTAATGAAGCAGAGACACAAGAAAACTGCTGCACTAAACCAAAACTAGAGGCATTTAATACAATAACTACAAATATATCATATAGGTCACATATTTAAAACCAAAAAAGCTTAAAAAACAAATTCAGAGAGCAAATACTTCTATATAAGTATAAGTTCCAGTCTTTTTCTTCAATGGGAGTCTTCTTTTAGGGAAACGCTGAGAGCAAAGCAAGTACAAATAAGTGGTAAAATGGGAAACAATATGTATTTTTACAAAAAAAATATTTTGGACAAATTATACAGCCCTAAAAGCAGGCACAGAAAACCCGTTTTGTTTCGGGGTTTTTTTATCAGAAAATTTTTCTTTTAAAACAGTTAGTAAAAATAAGTGGCAAAATGTAATTATTTTTTTTAAATGTTTAATTTTTCTGAAATATATATGTTGAACAACAAATAAACTACATTTGGTCCCAAACTAACTAGTCCCAGTAACAGTTTAAATCTGGCAACCCTGTTGCACATTCTATTATTCTTTAAAATAATACATCTATTTTATTTTAATGTTCACAGATTAAAAAATAAAAATTAATTGGAAAAACTGAAAAAAAAACAAAAAAAAAACATTAAGTTTATTTGAATTATTATCATAATTTCATTTGTTTGTTTTAATAAAACAATTTTAATCATTTTTAAATACATTTAGGAATGAATTTTAAAATAAATGCAATAAAACAATAGAGTTTCAGATAAATTTTGAGGAAGGACAGTGTGAGACGTGAAAGGATAAGCACACACTTCCAGACAGCGGCACGTAATTATCAGCGCTGATATATGATTATTATACGACACGCCTGGATGCACGAGGCTCGTTCAGAAAGACAAGACATCGCCCAGTGCAGGAGATCAGACTGTTAAAAGCTTCTCCTGCTGAGAAAAGAGAAAGACGCCTTAAAAAGAGAGAAATTAGCCATGTGAGCACTCCGTGTTAAAAGACAAGGGCATTCATTTTCATCGCACACTCCCAACTTAATAAAAACCTGAGCAGGTGAGAGACAGCGAGGAGAAAAGCTGAAGCTCAAACGCTGGAGGACCGAAACACAACAACACCACAGCAGAGATGAATCAAGGGCTCTTCATTGCTGTATCAAATTTCATAGCTCAAACCAGCACAAAGGACACCTCAAACAATAAACTGCATTTTTACAACTGCAATTTAGTTGAATAAATATATGTGCTGCGTGTTTCTGAGCGAAGCGTGGCACTGTGTTCATTTATACGTGCGGTTTGTCAAAATAAAAGTTTGATGGTTTAGCGTTTGACAGTGCAGAAATTAAGACTGCCATAAATATTATATTTTATTTTTTAAATAAAATTATATTAAAATTTTTGTAAAATTATATTTACAAAATGTTAAATTATTATTATATTATTTAAATTATTTCTTTTTTTAAATACAAATTAAATAGACATTTTAATTTTAAAAAATGTAATAAAAATAATTTTAAATTACATTTTAAATCAATTTTATCACGCAAAATTTGATTC